CTCTTTCCTGCCTATGCAGGGGGTCGGACTCGATGATCTATTGAGGTCCCTTCCGACCCTAACATCTATGAATCTATGAAAAGTATACATTTTATCATGATAAAATACTAGAGAAAAATGTGGTTCAGTCTTGATTAAAAAGCATCCCCTATTAAATCAAATATGTTCTGCATGGGGAAAAAAGTTATAAATATCTGGAGTTGTTTGAGTTAACTTAGTCCACAGTTCTAAGGAATTTGAATTCATTGCTGTGAATTTACAAAAACATACAAATACAGAATTTGTTTTTATAATATTTCTTAAAATAATTTGAAACCTTTGTTTTTATACTAGCCCTATTCTGATCATGGAATTCAAGCAACATATCATCAAGTTTATGCCCAAAGTGCCATAGCTATGCCAGCAGCTGTGATGCAGCCTGAGCCTGTAAAAGTAAGCTCTTTGGTTTTGTCATTTCTTTACTGTTAGCCTTTTATTATGTTAGGCAGTAATTAATGAGTACAAGAATGTTGCCAAAAATTAAGCTATTTCTCTGAATCAATTTTTAACACAGGAGATGTTGGGGAGATACCCATCCTGAAGCTTCTCTGTTCAGATGATCTATCAAATACTATTGGCAATTAAGGTATCAAATAAAGAACTGAAATTAAATTTATAAAGGCTAACAGTACATAGACTGGATAGAAGATTTCTGAAGAAAAACAAGAATATAGTGGTAATATGAACTGCCAATAAAAATATCCAGCATTTCAGTAACATTAGCTACTGTATCAGAAGACAAAGGGGTAGAATTATTTTACCCTCTGTGCACCCAAATGGCAGTTTTCCAGCTGTATAAGTGGCATTTTTGGTGCTTGTAACTTGCAGTTTTTACCCTTTATTACTCATGAAGTGTGGATGCATAAGCATATGTGCATATACCATGTATACTCAGTAGGCTACACACTGGCTGAGCAGGTTCTATATGAGAGTGGGCAAAATACGGCCTGCGAGTCAGATTTGGCCCACCAAGGACTTTTTTGGCCCATGGCAGGTCCCTAGGCCCCACCCAGCCCAGGCACTGTGGGGTAGCCCAGGCCGTGATACATGTGGCCAGTCCCACCACTCCCGGGCACACAGCGGGGCTGGACGTTGTCATAGCTAGATTTACTTCCAGGCAGCCTCCACAGCAGCAGCTCCTTCCGGCTGCACTGCCAGCCCCAGCCCCAACCCTGCTGCCTGGGCACCCTGGCCTGTCTGCCCTGCTCCCACCACCAGGGGTGCCAGATGGAGTAGGCAGATGGGGTTTCCATGGAGACTGGCCCAGGACCCATGCAGGCATGGTGTGTGGCCAGGTGGCTGGGATGAGTCGGTGGGTGGTCAGGAAGCAGTGCCCAGGAGCTGGATGGGGATGGGATCAGGATCAGGATTGGGATCACGGAGCAGTGACAGCATGGGGATGGAGCCTGGGGCAGAGCCACGATCTGCTACCTGCATGTCCCTGTGGTGAGCACTGGTTCAACAGGCAGGGGTGAGGTGTGGATTGCGGCTTTGCCTTGGCCCCACACTGCCATTGCCCAGCAATCCCAGCCCCACCCACCTGTCCTGCTCTTGGTTGCCACTCCCTGCCCACCTGTGGCCCCATTCCATGTGCCCAGCTGAGTGTGGGGTAGAGCCATTTAGGGAGTTTTGGTGAGCTGCTGGAGGGATGGAAGGTACTGACCCAACCTGTGATGGCTCACGAAAACTCCCTAAGTGGCCCTCCAACCTAAATAATTGCTCACCCCTGCTCTATAGACACAGACCCAGTGTACATATGTAATTCACAAAATTGTTGCCAACCCAAAAACATGACTAGGGAGTGTTAGGGCTCATCCATTGCCCAAGAGCAGCTCTCACAGCCTAAAGGATTCAAGAAGCCCTAATCTGCCTGTGGAAAAGGGGAAGGAAATCTGTACCCTTGCCTAATCTCTGAAGTGAAGAGAGTGGTATAGGGTAAACTGACCAATGCACAGAAAGCCCTTTTTTGATTTCTAGACAGAGAAGAGGAACATGCTTCAAAGATTTTTACTAAAATAGATCGAAAGCTTTCACCCTGAATGTATGCCTGGGAGTAAAAGACAGACACAAACCCAGCAGAACTCTGTCTAATTTGCAAAGTCAAGAGGTGGTATTGACCACAGATGCAAGGTCATAGATTAAAGATAGAGTTCAGAGAAACCTGGTCCCTGTCTGTCTCGCTCCCTTTTTCCCCCATCTTTTGCCTACCCCATATGGAGGTCTTGTGGAAAAAGGAATAACATAATTGAAACCAAGTATTCAGTAATATATTTAAAAGGATTATACATGGTATGGATAATGAGTTACAGTTTTTCATATAGTTTTAGAAGCAAGTTAGATAGCATATAAACCTTTATGCTGTTAAGCATCAACTGCTAATGCTCTAGGGTTGGGAAGTAATTTGTCTGGTAGGGAAATTGTGTGTCAGTTATCCACTTGGAAGTTACTTCAGAAGACGATGAAAGAATCTGGGACAGTAAAGGATTTGGGTACCTAATACAGGATATAGGTCAACTGAAGCACCTAAGAACAACATTGAAATCCAGAAGGCCCCTCTCATATGCTGCTTAATTCTGGAGGCCCCTAAACACAGTAGACAACTGCCTGTTTGACTTGAAAGTTCCCTAGGCTATTTGAAGTTCAGCTTCTGTACATACCTAGAACTGTTGCAGTCTGAACAGCTTGGTATGCATCTGTCAGCTAAGCCTGATCAGGATCCAGACCATAAGTAGAGGATTGCTAAGTCTTCCAAGGGACCCAATTTGCTAGACATTCCCCAAAGGAGGCGTAACATACCAACAGGACCAGGACCTTCACAAAATGCAATTATGGTCACTTTCTTTTAAAATGTAGCAGCATAAATGGTGGTAATGCCCACCTTTTATATAATATATAGTAATTAAAGCACTCACTCAGCAAATTGGACTCCAGAGTCGACCTCAGGATATTCAAACCCACAACTTCTACCTCCTAGGACAGTGCCCTGACAAATAGGCTGTTGGCTAGGCTAGGTGGAGATGCCCTCTTGAAGCTGTACTGCTCTGCAGCAAGGAATTCAAGATTCACAGGGTTACAGAGAAAGAGCAGAAGAGGGTAACTGTCACTTGGTTAGTGTACTCACCTGAAAAGTCCTGGCATGAGTTCTGTGTTTAGGTTCTGCTGTGAGAAAAGTTCCTGTATTTTATCCAGTGACTTTTACTTTAAGGTGTTTTCTTTTATTGTTCTGTATTTGTTTCTTCGTTGTTCTTGACTTCTTTCAAAGAGAAAATATCCCGGGGAAAAAAATCTCTATGTAAACTATACACACAATATATATTCAGCAGAGGGGGCTAGAGTATTAAATGTTGTGTTGAATTAAAATTGGGAGAGCTAGAATAAAAGAAGGCAATAAATGCTTAGTGTGAATCTGTGAAAAGTGAATCATATAATCAGTTGGCATAAGAGTGATTTTTGTAGCCATGATGGTCCAGGAATTATGCGAGATTTCTTACAGTGATAACTTTTAATGGACCAACTATGTAGCTGGTCCAATAAAATATACCACCCTAAGAAATCCTTGCCCCTCTCATGTAATCAAGAAATATCTATTCCATCTCTACCTCACCTTTTATTTTTTTTATACTTTCATACAAAGTCATCTTCCTGAATGTAATTCAGATGGGTAAAGTAAACTTAGGTGTTTATATTTCTTTATTAGGTTCTGCAAAATTATCACTGCCCTAAGACCATTAAGTAGCATGATGATGATAATGTATTTCACCTCCTACTTTCTACTAGCATGCAGAACTAAACGTACTGATTTCTGTGATTTTCATAACATAGGAAATATGCATATTTTTACTTTATCCAATGAACACAAATCATTCTAACATTACATTCATTTGTTTCTTTGAAAAAATTGTTAGTATTTAATAAAGCTCAGCTGTTAGGTTAATTTCTAGATGAGATAGATGCCACCAGGTGTAATCGCATATCTCTGTTTAGAGTAACAGATGTCTGTGTCCTCAAACATCAGTTGTTGTGGGAGGATTTTTCCCTTCTTACACTGACGGTGAGAGAGATTTTTAGTATGGCTAATATGTCATTGTTAATTTTTCATCTTGTAAGCAGTAACTTATTTTTTAATTCAGTTTTTCCCTGCTTTTATAGAAATATTGTCTACACTAAATGTAATTTTTCTCTAGTTTTGTTATGTGGATTTTTGTTTGATTGTTTTGGGGGAAAGGGGCAAGGATTTTTAGGGGGGGGTTGCATAGAAGATGCCATTTTGACAGTGAATATGAGCAATTCCTTTTTTTCTTACAGTCAGTAAGCCTGTACTGACTGTGAGGGCAGAGCTATTCAAATATAACTTTCTTAATCCTTCATTTTGAGTCATTTTCTCTCTGCTTCCTCATTACTTTTGTTATTTTTTTCTTAATACTTTCCATGTCTCACGTCTTTTGTGCTAATTAGGATCCCAGGATTGAACCTATAGTCAGTTCAGCTCACTGTTGGATTCAGAAGTTTCTAGTATTCCTAATAAGCTACATAAATCTCTAGTTCATTTAGTTTATAAAATTGAGCTTGTATTTACAACTTTGATCTGATTTTATTTTTTGACCCAGCAGGTCTGGAAGGTTTTTCTGTATTTACTTTACCTACCTATAATATTCAGATTTTGAGTGAGAGTATGTTATGAGTTTACCATCCAGTGTATTTTATAAACTTACACTATATGTGTGTTCTTATATTGCATCAGTCATTATGGAACATGGATATATGATATAGGAGTTAAAAAGAACAAAATTAGATGTGATGGATGGTAAAATGGAGAAAATTCTAAGCCAAAACCTTCTTTGAAAATAGACTGTTTCTTGCCTCTTGTAGAACTACAGTAGGAACGTATAGAAAGAGCTTTGCAGCTGAAAGTCTGTGGCATAGAATGAAAGGTAATGCAGAACTAACTAGCACCCAGGTAATTCAGGGGTTTATAAGTAACTGAGATCTTAAAAGTGGACTGAGAGTTCGTTTTGAGAATTAGGTTCTTATTTTGTCTGCTTCACTGGTAGTGTAGGCCAGGGGTGGGCAATGATTTGGGGAGGGCCACTTGAGGAGTTTTGGTGAGCTGTCACAGGCCAGATCATTAGCACTCCCCACCCACCCAGCTGCTCAAAAAAACTTCGTAAGTGGCTCTGCCCCATGCTTAGTTGGGCAGATAGGATGGGGCAGGCGGGGAGTGGTGCTGCAGGGCCAGGATCAGGATCGCTGGGTAGTAACAGTGTGAGGAAGGGCCCGGAGCAGAGCTGCCTTCTGCTGCCCACATGCCCCTGGCTGCGGAACCAAAACCCATTGCAGGGACCTGCAGGCAACAGTTCTGCCCTGGGCCCTAGCCCTATGTTGTCCCCACCCCC